AAGTATATCACCTCAATATGTTAATTTTTACAAACAATATTGGATAATGTCCCTACTAATCATCCAAATCAAAAATTAATTAACACTTTAAAGCAACTTATTTCTAATAAAACTTTAAATCAACACCATTCTGACTTAAGATAGTAAAATTTCCTTAAGTTACTAAGACAATATAAATGAAATCATTTTATTATAGTTATTTAATAAAATTAAACTAATCTATTTGAGTCAAAGTTATTTCGCAATGCCAGATATTACGAATTAAATAGTGATTTAGTTGACGATGATTACAGTTGTGCAATTAAATAAGAAATTAAACATGAAAAAGAGACGTGGTGTTATAGATTACAAGAGAGTGTGATCTCAATAGTAACAAAGAATGTAAATACTTATGCGTAGTCAACATTTATGTAGTTTTTTTTATCTCTAATGTACAATAACAAATTCAATATCCAATAATTATAAACTTGAAAAAACGATAATAAAAGCAAAATAATAACCTATAAAAAAATTTTGTCAGTAATGTTCGATTTTCTGAACAAACCGAATACTGTAATGATTTTGTACAGTGTTTATATCTATTGTTGTCAACCCAAAATTTCTTTTTTACATCGCAATATAAAAATTGCACAATATCATACTTGTATTTGAAAATCGACTCCATTTCGAACATTTTTTCGAATGCCTAATAGGATAGACGCACATCATCTCAATAGTTTAAACTTTATTGAGGGCAAAATTCTGCATATTTTGGAGCCGTCATTCTATTTCCGTGTTCACATTAATATCTTATCATTCATGTTTACATCACATTTAACTGTTGAAGTACTTAAATAAGAACACAAAAAATACGGAATAAAAATAAATTAAATAAATTATGAGATACTGAATAAGGAAAAAATAACAAAGATATAACACAGATAAAATTTTACGTATTACAGACACAGTGTTCTAGAAAAGAAAGGGTTGTCACAAGATAAGATTAATATATCGATCAAAATTTCACGAGGAATATTCTGTTTAGAATACATTTCAAATTACAAATTATTCCTAGAAAGTTGTTATTTTAGTATTACACACGCAGTCTTGTTTAATTATAAACTTTATAGAAAAATATTCAATATTTTGGTATCATTACGAAGATATCATTTATTGATTTCATCACAGTTAAAGTTATAAGAATTTATTATACTCTAACTATCTTCTACAATTTTCGAGTCCTAGTAACTTGAGTCCATCTTTATACTAAGTATGCGTAGCATTGTGTGCTCATACAGAATATCACCATACTATATAAAGACATAAATAAAATGCCAGATGCACAACAATACGTATGACTTTATCATTTTAACTAAAATCGTTTTTCGGCAATTTATTTTGAAGCATACTACATACAAGCATGCGTAATTTAATATAATTTCTTTTCAGGTTTGTTTATTTAAATTGGCTAATTATTATTCACATACTGATATCAAATTTAGAAAGGTTCACACGAATTACCTATCCGACTAATCTGATCTAATCAATTCTATTTCATATCTGATACTGTATTAAGTACGTAAGTACCACGAAAGAATCCATTTTATTATCGATATAAAAATTTTGTATTTACAAACACAGCCTAAATGTTTTTTTTTATCGTACGTACGTAATAATTGTATTCCAAAGCCATCGGTCATAAGTCTAGCTATTTGTGTACTTTACGTACGCACGTACACACAAAAAAAGAATTTTTTTCAACGCTCAAAATGTGTAATGTCATGCATGTACGCAAAAAAATGATTTGCACTTAGTACTACGTAAAATGATAAATCGTGCTAACCATGTGCACCTGTTAAATATATGACGTAGGAAGTTGGGGTGCATGGTATACAATGTAAATCAAAACTATACGTGGTCATATGGAGTCTTTGCCTTGAAAATGACCTTACGGTACATGATACCGTAAGGTCATTTTCAAGGCAAAGACCCCATATAATATAATTTATTAATAAAGATTTTTAGATAGGTTTATAGTAATTATAGCAAAATTTTAAGTAGATGCACAGCTCTAACGGTTTGATAGATTTGGATAAAATTTTGCAAAGACTAGTATTACGTCTCTATGAACAAAGCTATAGAGCCATTTTTTTAAAAAAAGAAACCAAATTAGGTTATCTCTTGTTTTTCTTTTTTTTTTTTAAAAAAAAAAATACATAGATTAAAATTTTTTCAAGCCTAAATAAAAGAAATGGCTCTATAGCTTTGTTCGTAGAGGCATAATACTAGTCTTTGCAAAATTTTATCCAAATCTATCGAACCGTTAGGGTTGTTCATCTATTTAAATTTTGAAATAATTACTATAAAATTATTATCTATCTAAAAAAATCATTAATAAATTTTAGGGGAATTTACAAATAAGGGCCCAGAAAGTGAAAATAATTACAAATACGAGCCCAATTAAAAATAATTATATATAAGGGCCTAATTTTTAAAAAATATTACATATAAGGGCCCAAAATAACTGTGAGCCTGTGGCTTGATCATTATTAGTATAAAAAACGTAAACATTGCATAAAAAATGTAAGGATCGATTGTAAATTAGTAATTATAAGTGAGAAAGAAAATTTTTAAATTTAATAAACTTAATTACTTTGTATGAAATTGCTTATTGTTATTACGAACCACTATGATGTCAAGTAAAACATTGCAAATTGGCATGTCATTTGCTAATATAGAAGATGTTCGTTCAGCTTTAGAGAGTTATTTGTTGAACTTCGCCTTATGAATAATTGTGCTAGTTTAACGCTATTTTTATGCAATATTTGAGCGAAAACGATTATAACTAGCACTTCATTTATTCTTTATCTAATAATCAATATATAGATAACTCTAAATGTACATAGTATACCGCGCACCCCAGTAGAAAATGTTGAGAATAAGGTGCTAATTGGTTTATTATACAGTCTATCCTCGTTAATATCAACTTCGTTAATATCAACCTAAAGCTATAAGATGAATTTTTACAAATTATTATATATTAAAATTCCCTCATATATATTAACTTTATTATAATCCCTTGTCAATATCACTATCAACATGAATTTAAACCAATTCAAATAGGTTGATATAAACGAGGGTAGACTGTACTCAGAATCGCACAAATTTTAACCCAAACCAGACTTGTTATGAATTATAAAATATATCAAATACAATCAGACCTCGATATAATCACCAGGTTGGGAAACAAAATTTTGGTGCTTATAAAAAGTTGTGACTATATGAAGGTTAAATTTTATATGTTTTCAATAGCTAGATCAAAAAAATAGTGTGATTATAACAAGGTTGTGACTATATTTAGAGTTAATATAACGAGGTCTGACTATAGAATAATTAATTAATCTAGTTTGTTAAAACTAAAGACAAAATTGAGTTATTAGACAACCTTAGTTGAGAATTTGCTGAAAGTGTTACTAAATTATTGTCGCAGCTGATGCTGAAATTTAGGGTCCCCATTTAAATCCATAATACCTGCTAAAATTCACATATACTTTTTTACTAACAACACTAACCCTAAACCCTAACCTAATCTAAAAAAAACCCTAACGAAAAGGCCCAAAAAAATTAAAATTTCATAATAAAATAGGTTAAGATTTTAGCATCAGCCGCGACAATTATTAAATTGCAATGTTGAACAGACTTAAATATTTCAGGCTTTAAAAAGTGAAATTATTATAACATTCTAAAGCTAGGAAATGCGCAGCATTGTCAGTCCGGAGCTACTATTAATATTAAAAATTTAGTATACAAACACCAGATATATTTATAAAAAATTTTATTGTGCAAAAAAGTATAAATACGTTAGTATTGACAATTATTCTTAATGTCAAAATATTTTGTCATTCCACGCCATGTTTTATTATGCGTGCTTTTCCATTTTTAAAAGTTGATTTGATCAATTTTACCTTCTTTGGTCTCATAAACATTTACATCATAAATTGATAATCAATTTTCTTGTTTTATATTTATTATTAGTTAACATAAAAGGTCAGATATTTAAAGTCATAACTATTAGCTAAAATTGGAACAAAAATATTGGTTAATATTTTAAAATGAGCACAAATATGAACGCATACAAAACATGATCTATTATTATCCGCTACTTTCTGTAACAATTAATAAAAGCTAAGTTTAAGCGCGTTATCATTTCTTTAAGTTATAACAATCAAAATTAAAGGTGATATAAATTACGTACGTGTTTACATATGATACTAAAACACTGGATATCGAAACAAAGTAAAGTCTGAACTTAGTGTTATATTCTGGAATATTTCGCAAACTCTCCATAATGATCCTATTTTTAGTTATCTGCAAATATTTTCATTGACAGTACTAGCGGAGTTCCAGAGTATAAATATTTATTTGTATCAATGAATCAACGTAAAGAATTAAACTCAAATGTACACGTAATTTGTCTTTAAATGTATATTGATTCAAATACATAAGACCATTACAATTCCTATAAAAGTTTTTTCATTAATAACAATAACCAACAATGACAACAACCACTTGATTTCTTATATATACCCGTATGTCGCGCTTTTCTCTCCCTCACTTTAATCATCCAACCTTTTCATCTTGTTTGGATATTAAGGACATACTATTATAACTTTAAATAAATACCTTTATTTGAATAACATCATGAAGAAATTTCTGGTTATCGCACTTCTGTTTTTCTTGCAGGTAAAATAAAAAGAATTAGCCAGAGTAGCCTCAAAGCATGGATCACATGATACGCTGCAAGGAAGAACTTTAATAATAAAATTTTTAAATTGAAAACATAGTAATTTTGTATAACAAGCTTTTTTTCTTTTATAATTACTGATTCGTTGTAGCAGCGCTTATCATATGAACCAAATACTTTGTCATTCAAAATAAAATGGTTAAAATAAAATTGATTTTACTTGAAATAATTATAGATCTACTTTGCAACTGGAGTTAACTCCGTTTTCACGACAATTATGACTTTAGCTCCCAAAAATAGCGGTGTTTGGTATGCATGCACTACATCTACGATTACATATATAGGTAAGTAAAAAGATGAAATATTGTATCTCAAATAATATTTTACTCATTGACTCACTCATGTCATCTCCTTAGATTATTCCTTGGTGTATTCGCTGAGTGGAACTCCCACCACACCTGCTGAAGGAGATTCTTATAAAGGGAATATCACTTCAACTACTAATTACAATGGATTTGAATATGTATTTTTTTCCTACTCTACTAATAGTACTTACGACTATTGCGGGTCTAGTAGTAATGTTTGTCGTTTTGTACAATATTATAATTACAATCTCCCAAGAGATTATTATTGTATTGCAGTCCTTAATCCAAATAATGTAGACTATTATATGACGTTGGTATATAATTTCGGAGGCACCGAAGTTGCTCGTCGTAATGTTGATGAATCTACTAGCTTACCCCCAAAAGGCATTTACGCACGTGATTTTCATCGACGTAGTGACTTTAAGAACAATCCTTCAATTGATTTAACTAATATGTTTCCAAGTGCTTAGAATTAAATTCATATCTCTAACACTTAAAGAAATCAAGGATAATTAATATTCAGTGCGTTGATCATGAAATGCGTATGGCATTTTGATGATTTTTAAACCTTTCTATGTATAAAGGCCTAGGTAGTCCATTTGATGCAAGAATATTTATGTCACAAATTGACAAAATTACAACTTGATTATTCAAACATCTTTCAATTTATATTTTTTCACTTTATATATATATTTTACATTATATTTTATCTTTTTCATTTTTCTATCTTTCTTTGGTCAACGCATAAATAATTTATTGTCAAAATGAAATAAAGAAAATTTGTTCTCCCTATCTGATCTCATATATTTTAAGTGAATTTACTATAGTAATTCTAAATCTAAATACAAAATATACTGTGAACAATCCTTTATTAATTAGAAGCTACTTTAAAAAGTAATTATATGAGCGTTATTAAATTAAGACCTTTAAGTAAAAATTTAAATTTACACTTAACTTCCATATAGAAATTATGATAGCAAGTATTGCTTCTAAAAGTAAAACTTCAGACTAAAGTTATTTTTTCCACAAATTATTCTTATCCTAACACGAAAAAAGGATGAGACTAGCACTTTTCCAAATCCTACTATTAAAAATAGGCTATTTATAAAAATTGAATTTTACATGTCTATATTACAATACGCCTGTCCGAATCTGTACTATCCTATATTATTATTATTTTTACTAATATCAGGTCGTTTTAAGAAACAATACAACATCACACTAGGAAAATGCGCAGCATTGTTAACCTAGGTGCTGCACAAAAAATGCGCGGCAAATCCTCGATTTTGATTGCCTAAGA